AGAAGAGAGAAACCGGACCAATCTTGTCTTATTATCATTGACGCAAAAGAACTTTCTCGATGCCAGTTCAAGAAAGTCATTTGTGTCACTACCACAGAAAAAAGAGAATGTTTAACATCAAAAATGTAAAAAAGTAAACCTAAAGAACCAGACAAGCTTACCTGGGTATCGGTTTGTTCATTTACGAGCTAAAACACCTTAAGTTTTGCCGGACGAGTATAGCTACTTATATTTATATTTATAATATTATTAGTATATATATATATATATATATATATATATATATACGCATACACATGTCCATTTTACATGAGTGTGTGTGTACGTGTATATATATACATATATATAACCACATATATATATATATATATATATATATATATATATATATATATATATATATATATATATATATAAGTTTGTGTGTTGTGGGTAGGCATGCGCGTGTATAAACACACACACACACACACACACACACACACACACACACACACACATATATATATATATATATATTACTGCATATTTATAGAAGATTGAGGAATTGGAGAGCCGAGTTCGAATTCCATTCGGATCCATTACATTCACTTTCATGTGCTAATAACCTTGGAAATATTATGAATCCTTTTCTTCTCCCAACCCACCAGGTAAATCGCAGGACAGACTGGGTACTTTAGCTTTGAATGGCAACTGAGCTGGGAGAAGGACAAGTTTGAATTCAGAATTTGCGGAGGCTCGTTTGGGGGCCTTGTGCCACGATGCACACCAGATCTCTGTATTTGTATCTTCAAAAAGGAGTGGTTGGTTCTGCACAAAGCCCTCGCCACTATAATCAAATCATATTCGCAGGTATCTTGTTGTCAGTTCCTAGGAGCTGAAATGCTTGACCCTCATACGCCAGAAAAACGACGGGAGAGTCCAGTATATATTGTTTGAGCTTCTTTTTATTGAAAACCAGTTTTTTCATATTTTTCATAATTGTTTGTGATTTCTTACATTTCCATACAGTATAATGGATGTATGGAGTCATAAATGTCCTTAAATCAAAAACTGCTTTTGTGGTTCTATATAAATATGATGAATCCATACTTTTAGCCAGGTTTATTTGTATAAGTGAATATAACGAACATACACATCCATGCTTACAGCACCTGGTATTCCCAAGCGGCCACCCATGTAGATGCTGTGCAGTTTCAACGTTATTTAACTTCGGTGACCGTATGAGAACAGGGGATTCAACGTGATAATGCTGTAAGTGTTTTGATAGACTTCCTAAGATATTTTACTGATATATATATATATATATATATATATATATATATATATATATATATATATATATACTGATGTCCCTGTTTGCAGAACTATTAAACAAAACAAAATCAAAAAGGGATAGTAAGAGAACGATGAATTCATCCAGGAATGAAAGAAAAGGCCATTATTAAATAAAGATGACTGACGAAGTGCAATTTCAAAACAATTAAATATACCAGTCTGAAGACGTGAATATTATGCAAAAGTGCGGGTGACTATAATGATGATGAAAAGAAAAACGAAGTGACGAAGGAAGGAGGGGAGAATGAAGAAGAAGAAGAAGAAGAAGAAGAAGAAGAAGAAGAACAACAACAACAACAACAACAACAACAAAATGGCAACAGTTGGGTGCAGTTTATAGTTTATAAAATCAATAGTGGGTCGAAAGAAAAGGAGCGCTGTCCCTCTGACGTGTTCACTACGTCATTTACTGTGGAACGCGTAAACAGTGGCGGTATAAAGACGTCATTGACGTTGTTCGCTTCAGCGGCCATAACAGGTAAGGTACATCAGAAATAGCCGACAATAAAAATTAACGACCGAGTTTTCTTTTATTGACTTTGTCATGGAAATACGTGGGGTGACGACTGCCTTTGTAAAAGCAGCGATGTTACCGATATAAACAGGGGTATCTGGCGATAGATGATGCAGAGGGATGACTCAAATAATGATGTCGTATATTGGCGTGGTGAGGAACGGAGTGACAAGCAGCGACACAGACCGATCAGTAGTAATCGAGCGAATAGACTAACAGACAAGACGCCTGATAATAGATACGTTTACTTGACGGGGTGGTTAGAACATTTGATTTCCGACCATCAATCTAACTACAACGCATTCATCACATAACTTCGTAATGTTATCGGCCTGAGAAGGTGATTCCAATTGACGGTACCTTTGGAAAGTGTCTGAAAAGCCTACCCCGTGAAACTGGGTAGATGGAACTCTCCGGAGACCGTCGATGCTTCCGCTAGCGCGTTCTCCCAAGTCATCGTGACAGAGGATTTAAGTATACTATCTGTTGAAACTTGACTAATGCATGGAATAATAATACAACACAAAATGTACTTAGAACAAAATGTATTGAAACAAGAAAGTGTACACAATATTTACATATAGTCTTTTGTATATTTTCTGGGAAGACCGTTCCTGGAGAATGGATTGACTTAGTCGCAGTCAGGCAGAGTCTCTGGATTGAATCTCTTGATTCCTCATCTCGTCTTCCCGGTACCAACCATATTTATATGGTCGGTACTCCACTATGCAAATTAGGTGGATCCTACCACAACACTACCCTATTTCACCTTACACTATTTACATTATTCGGACTATTGTCCTCATCTTTGTTGCCATATTTATTACAACGTTTCGGCCGTTGTACGCTCCGGCCTTCTTCAGGTGGTTGGTTTGTCGAACTGAACCCTTTATTTCGCTCACTGGGTTAGACTCTTCTAGTTCCACGTGCCATGTCTAATGGATGTCAGTTATCAGTTATCTCCTGTTAATTTCCCTCTCCAAGATCTCCATCGCCTTAACGGGGTATTGAACTCATACTCTTTGGGTCCTGTCACTGGATCTAACTAACGCCAAGGACACATGGCACACTGGATAAAGACGTTGGTTAGATCCAGTGACAGGGCTCAAAATATTTACATAAAATAAATAGACAACACTTGTCTATATTATTTAATGAAACATGTATGAATATATATTGTGATGTCAACAAATACTCTTTGCCACCTTTGTGATGTCAACGAATACTCGTTGTCACTTTCGTAATGCTCGTTGTAGTAGAGGCTTTGTAATCGCAGATACAACTATTGTACGCCGTTAAACAATACTGGTATTAGATGCCTTCGAATAACACTCGCACTAATAGTACTTACTCGATAATATTCGCTCAAAAAGTAACACACAAATAGTAATCTGAATAGTGAAATAGTATAGTGAACAGTATAGAGGATATTATAGTGAATACTATAGAGAATAGCGACCCGTATAGTAATAGTGCAGAAATGGTGATCGATTAGACGCCACGCTAATTCCCATATATACATTTCTTTTACCATCACGTGATCTACTTATTAAAAATGGGATCCTCTGTATTTGCTCTCTGGTGATCTGTGTTCAAACTCCAGTGTCAGCAGCGACACTTTATTCCTATATAACAATATATATATATATATATATATATATATATATATATATATATATATATATATATATATATATATATATACACAGAAAAGACAGAGAATTAATACAAGTAAAACGTATGCTACTTGGCTAACTGATGTTACCTTCAGTATCACGGTTTCGCAGACTTATCCTCCAAAAATCACTCCGTCCACTCGTCAGGGTATGAACAAGTGATTGTATATACTTCTTGATTTTTCTTTTTTATATGCACTTTTCATTAATTGCAAGTTTTTTTTTTACATAGTGTATGTGTGCATGCGTGTGTGTGTGCATTCTCGCCCGTGTGTTTATGCGCCCACCTTGCGTATATGCGTTTGGAATATCGTAGTTATTTGTCCCTTTTGTCGTTTCTTTCTCTTTACACTCACTACTTATTATTTCGTTTTACCTTTTGTTGCTTTTTCCTCTTTTACCTTGTGGCTATGTTGACTTACGGTTTTCCAGACATATACCGTCGTAGTTAAAATGGATTTTTTTATTAATCCGACAGATTTTTATCATTTTGAACGTTCTTTTAATAGATTACAGTAGGCGCTCCACTTATTTATTAAACAGTATATTTATTTATTTATTTTCGTCTACCGGCTTGAATGTTCGAGAAATCTTATCAAAGAAAAGTTTATGCACTCTGGTAGGATTTGAACCTGCCTCCCTGTAGGCTGAGGGAACTATCGTTAAATTCTATACGTTCTGACTAACTGACCTAAAAAAAAAGAACCAATTAGTTAGATAAGACTGAAATTGTACCTTTAGAAACTTCTCTTGTCATAGATCTCCCGAAATTGTTCATTTCTGCACAGCTTCATTTCCAAATGTAAACAAAGAGAATTTCAGAGTGGATTTATTTATTAAACCGACAGATTTTTATGACGTTGAATGTTATTTCTAGTAGATATTCGTATCAGAGTAGAAGGTTCCGTGTATTTCTTAAACAGTATATTTATTTATTTTCATCTACCGGCCTGAATGAAACTGAAACAAGCTTGTGCAAATGGATGGCAGAAAAAGGATGGCGTAAAGAGACGCATTACTCACAGCTACAAAAGATACGATTTTGTGTACAGTTACGATGGCTCACGTCCTGAAAGGACATGACATAAATAATAATAATAATAATAATAATAATAAGAAGAAGAAGAAGAAGAAGAAGAAGAAGAAGAAGAACAACAACAACAACAACAACAAGTTGGTTGAGTGCGGCCGACGTAAACACTCAGAAAACTTCGGTGAATGCTCATGAATGATACACTGTTCGTATCTCTGCATCATACGTACTTTCATGTAAGACGCCATTTTTGGCAGAATGCTAATCTGTAATAGGGGAAAATAGTATGGTTTAATGGTGGGAAGGTTCAACTACTGCAATTATACAGATTACATAACCAAAAGATTGGTGATTCTTGCACTGAGTTTATTAACGTTCACTGGATTTGAAACTTAGCTTAGTTAAAAAAAAAAACAAGATACTATTCAATATCAAGTAATGACGAAGGCTGCAAAAGCAGCCGAAAATGTGTATTACCAAGAAATTTATTGTACTCTTGCATATCAACTAAATAAAAAAAATATACAAAGAATATATTATCACTATACTCTAATGCAAGTATCTACTAAAAAATTACACACACACACACACACACATATACATATATATATATATATATATATATATATATATATATATATATATATATATATATATGTATATATATATATATATATATATATATATATAGGTGGATAGGTAGATAGGATTTATTGCAAGTTGTCCTTACTCTGTAACCATTACACCTACTCAATTTATATTCTCATGCTTATCTGTCTTTCTGTCTACCACTTAACATGCTCCAGTGTGTATCAGATCGCATTCAGATAATTATACCACTGCATGTAAATTCACACTGAATTGCAAAAGAGCGGGTAATCCTTTCCGTAGTAGCCAATGGAAAATCAGAGCGTCACTGCTGACGTCATCGACAGCGTCGCTTGGGAAACACGATCCAATGGCTCATAAAAGTGGCTTCCCAAATCTGCTAAAGCTTGGATATCCCCATTGACGTCATCAGGTACGAAAGTATCTTCTTCTTGCATTCTCCGCTTCTTCTTCTTCTTCTTCTTCTTCTTCTTCTTCTTCATTTAACCTTTAACGTGCACTCATCCTGACCTCTCATTCGCATTTTCTCCCACTGTCTATTTTCGCTGTAGTATTTTAAGCATTTGTTGCATGTTTAATAATTTAATAATGTTAGCTCTTGGTGATGAGATATAGACTTGATGTCTTATACAGTTCGATACCGGATTTCAGCCGTTATTATTCATTTCTAATACTCACCCCTCCCCTAAAAAGAATCATTGTAAATTAAACTGCTTTCACCTTAAAGGAAAACAGGGCCTCTCCGCCGGGTGAATTTCCTGTTCACATATCCGAGATAGTAACGTATTCCTCACCGGTAAGCGATGCAGTGTTCAAGCCGGCTTCAAACCAAAGTCGCTGATTTTCCAGGCAAAGAAAGTTTTCTTCCCTAAGAATACTGGCACATCAGTCTTCTTACTTTTATTTTCCTCAAGGTGAAATTGTATTAAACAAAGATATCAATATTGGTGCAGGTTTTTTCCCACGGGTCCCAGAGTCGTGACTCTAGGAAGCATATTTGCTCTGTCTTAGTAACTTAGACATAGAGCACTTTTTGTCTTATTCATTTTACCCTTTTCTCTTATCGTTATTTTTCTTGGGTTTTGTTTTAATGATTGTTAGTTTTTCTTTTTATTAAGTTTTTCTATAGTCATCTGGCAGGCTTTCTGCTGATTTTATCAGTTCTTTGGGTTTTATACATACATATATAAAAATTGGCAAATCAAATATGGATCGTAATTCGACAGAATTATACGATAAATAACAAATAGGAAACATTTATCAATCTAAAATGTTTCACTCTTATTAAAGCTTCACCAGAAAATGAGATACTGTTAAAAAATTATAGTATGTTTATTTTTGTGTTTGATTTTCATTGGTTAAGCAGGGTTCACATGAATTTGACTTGTTAAGCAGCATTAGTATAATTTATGGCGTTCTGAAGTCGTGGAAAGATGACGCGTGCTTTCGAAGCCACAAAAAATTAATATAGTTCAAACCTAAAAAAACATAAATATTGAATACACACAGACAAGCACCATTATAATACGAATATATATATATATATATATATATATATATATATATATATATATATATATTTTCATCAATATCCTACATAGACAAACTAGGATTATGACACACTTTCATACATAAAGCAAAATTTACGTGTTTTCTTTTTTCGTGTTTACGTCATATACATATAAGATGAGCTGAAAAAGAATTCGTGGATATTTGTATTTCCATGTCAGTTTTTGGTATTTGATGAACTGCATCTTAATAACTTCAGTCAGATTTGTCAACTGAATTATTTACGTTGATTAGGTTGAAGAAATAGATAACCTTGATGACACACTAGAATAAAATGTTTTTCCACCATTTTTAATTCAGGATGCACTTGTAGAATAACTAAAACTCTGGGATGTACTTCAAACTTTAAGAAAAAATTAGTCATGAAATTTTTAAGAAAAATTAGTCATGAAATTTTAAAATGATAAGGAAATCTCCTGAAATAAGCATCTATTTTAAAGACATTACATCGTCTATTTAAGCGGTAGAGTTTTCAGTTAAATGGATTTATGATGAATCTGCTTATTTTTCTTTTTAGATAGACCGAAAACAACTGATTTAAATCCGTCGAGGAAGGCAAACGGTAAGGATTATCCACTCCTTCTTAAAGGTTAAGGAATTTAGAATACAGTTTAAAATATCAAATGACAAAGACTTGACTTAGGCATGGAAGCCATGTGCTTGGCGTCACTTTTTTTTCTTTTTCTTTTTATGTGCCGTGTCCTTTCAGGACGTAAGCGATCATGGCCCTTCAATTTTCCTTATCCTTTGTGGCTCTCAACAGGTTTTGTGTTTCTGTCAATTCCCCCCAGACCACACTCCGCCATCCACCTGCCCAAGCCTACCAGGTATGTTATGCGCCGTTTTCCCCTGTCTCTTTTGTCCCTCTATTCGTCCCGTGTGTAGCAGATTCACCAGGCCCTCCTTTCTCATCACGTGTCCCCAAAATTTCATCTGCCTCTTTCTTATGTTAAGCATAAGCTTCCTCCTTGTTTGCATCCTCTCCAAGACCTCATCGTTGCTCGGTCCATGATATCCGCAGCATCCTTCTGTAGACCCACATCTCCGTCGCCTCGAAGTCTCTTCTTCATCCTTGAGGATACCGTCCAACATTCGTATAGGAGTATACATGTCACGTAGCAGCTCAGTACTCCTTTCTTTATCACCATAGAAATCCTCCTGTTTCGCAGTACTCTGCCCAGCTTTTGGTTATCCCAATCCGTCTTCGGATCTCAGCGTCGCACCTACCGTCCTCCGTCAGAACACTACCCAGATACTTAAACTTACGCGCATATTTGATTTTTGGGTCCCCGACCTGCAGATCGCATTTTGGGCTCATCCTTTTACTGCAATCTGTCTTCTTGTAGCTTATCGTTAGTCCCTTCTTCTCGCTCTCCCACGTTGCCTTTTTGTAGTTTGTTTTTCCGTGTCTGCTATCAGTACCGTGTCATCTCTCAAGGTTTTAAAACAAATATTTTTTCAGATACAAAAATAATTAATAAAATTACACTTCTGTTAACTTGGGGCGCATCTGGTTACTGTACGTGGTGCATTAGTACACACCTTGGCGCACCGGTTGAGTGACAAATCAGTAGATAATACCAAAAGCCAGTACGAAGTGTGAAATTTTCTTATTGTTGTGAAACCGTAACATACCTACAACATGGACTCTTCCAGGACTATATTAAGTATGCGATATAACACTCTAGGAGAAGAGGAGGAAAGAGAGAGAGAGTATTCTAATACCGTAGTATCAGCCGCGTACAAGTACAAATATTGGACACTAGTACCTAGTAAGCTCCGCTTACACTTACACTATCTTTGTAACCTTTTTGTTTAATATATCTTTCTTATCTCTAATCCGTGTTCCGTGTTTTCCTTCCGTGGTCCCAGCTTTGGCCCCACATCAGTGGCGACGAGAATTCGAGAAACGCACTCACGCCGAAACCTCAATACCTTGCCAGTCCCACATCAGTGGCGACAGAAAGATTCGAGAATTTCGTTCTCACCATATCAATAGCGACAGAGTACTCGAAAAATACACAGAAACTCCACGCGTTCCCACAGCAGTGTTGAACGAAAAATTAAGCTGGTATTACTACATTAGCGATTTAAACGTAACACCCAGCGTCTACATATATAAAAAAAAAATATTCCGATACCAAACAGCAGTGACGAACAAGCGATTCGACATCTACGGAATATATAAGTCTGTCCAAATAACATTACGAGAACGATTTCTTACACACCCACACACAGAAAAAAAACAGTTTGTTCATAAAACAAACTGACAACACAAGAGCCGAAGTACTACTTACGACTCAAGTTTTCGAAAAAAACTATCTAAAATTTTTTTTTATGTAACTGAGTTGAGTCTCGTGCATAAAATTATTCTCCCCTCAAATTCACTGAGGCGAGTTTTCTCTTTTTTTGTACCTCTATAAAAAAAACAAAAAAACAAAATAAGTGTGATGAAAATTTATACAATTACGTTAAAATTAACGGAACCACGGAATCTGAAAAAAGCTAAACACATGAGTAGTTTAGTTTAACTAATTTTCTGTCCATTTGTTTTTTAAAAAAAAAAAAAAAATCTATGAAGATTTTTTTGTGTACCCCCCCGCCCTTGGTACACGGGTTTCAAAGCAACAAAAAATCACTGTCATTTTTGTTTGTCTAAATATGGAAGATTTTCAAAAAGTAATCGTCCAAATGCTAAAAGTAGATTTGGATCAGCAACAAAAATCAGAAGAAAGACAACAACTATTTTTGGAATTACATAAACAACAAATGGAATTCCAACAAATTACGCTTCAGAATGCGGAACTACAACAGAAACAACTTAAAGAATTACTCGTAAATGCATTAAAAGGCTCAAACTCTGAAAAAGATACAATATTCTCCCAGAGAACAATTCAATGGAAAACCTTTGAATACGTACCAGAGAACGACAAAACGTTCGAGGCTTTTGACAGGCGCTACGAAGATATTTTCAACGTAGACTGTGAACAATGGGCCAGTAAAAAAAAGCTACGTCTACTATTGAGAAAACTGGGAACTACAGAACATAGTAGGTTCGTAGACTATCCAAGAAAACCACTGACTTGGATTTTCCAGAGACTATTAATCTCCTATCGGAACTATTCGGGCCTAACACAACCTTGTTCCACAAACGTTGGAAATGCCTGAACACAGTCAAAGGCAATCAGCAAGATTTTCTAACGTTTGCAGCATCGGTAAACAAGCTCTGTAATGATTTTATACTAGCCGAACTGACTGCCGATGATTTCAAGTGCTTAATTTTCGCCCAAGGTCTAGTATCAGCAGAAGACGCCGAAGTCAGACGACGGGTACTGGCCAAGCTTGGGAAAGAACAAGGATTGACTCTCCAAAAGCTGGCAGAGGACTGTCAAAGAGTAATATCTGTAAAGTGTGACTCAAACACTATCGAGGAATCAGGTGTGGCTCAGATTAATAAAATCAGAAGCAAGTCTACCTCCTATTCCCCTCATAAAGACACAAGGCAAATCTCATGTCCTAAATTCGGCAGTAACCAAAACCCAAGTACGTTAAAGAAAACGCCCGGGCCATGTTACCATTGTGGTAAATGGCATTGGATGAAATTCTGTCCAGTTAAGAACAAAAAATATTGCAAAAATTGCAATAAAAGTGGGCATACTTTAACTCGGTGCTGGTACGCCAACAGAACGAGAAAACCCAAAAATAAAATTAGGCAAGCTCAATCTGACAATATTGTCGATAGGAATTTAAGGAAATATGTAACTGTGGATATTTTCAATAATTCCATTAAATTCCAGCTTAACTCGGGTTCCGATCTTTCAACCATTTTTCAGTACATTTTGTCGCAAGATACAAAGTATAACGTTCAATTTGGTAAATCTCAAAAAGGAACTCAAACAACAATTTCCCCAGGCTTTTTCTGGCGGCCTTGGGAAATGTACTAAAATGAAAGCTAAGTACAAGGTGAAGGACGGTGCACAACCAGTATTCAAAAAGAAACGGAATGTCCCTTTCGCTGCTCTAGACCAAATCAACAAAGAGTTAGATAGACTCATTCCAAAAAATACAGAAGTCTTTGAAGACTCCATCATTGCTACTCTAAGGACAAATTGTGAAATCAAAAACATGATCGCGAGTACCATGAGAGAGCTCCCAGTTACTTTGGCCGACATAAAAAGGGAGTCTCGAGAGGATGAATTCATTCAATCAATAAAAAGCAAAATTCTCAACAAAGACCCCAATGTGCCTGAAGTTTTCTCCCTTTGCGATGATGTCCTACTATACAATGACCACGTAGTGATTTCAAACAGCCTACAAAGAAAAATCCTCAGGAATTTTCACATGGGACATCCGGGGAAGAACCGTACGAAAAGCCTCATGCGCTGTTATGTTTATTGGCCAAACATGGACAAGGACATAGCAGACATGATAGAATCATGCAAAGGATGCGCGCTTGCAGCAAAAGCTCCAATGACGTGCAACCATGGCCAAACACAGACCATCCATGGCAAAGAATTCATGTCGATTTTGCAGGACCTATAGACAACATGTACTATCTCATTGTTGTGGATAGCCACTCAAAATGGCCTGAGGTCCTACAATGCAAAAGACCAGCCACAAACTGCACGATCGGATTTCTACACGAGCTATTCGCGCGTTTTGGCGTGGTAGATTGTGTAGTTACAGATAATGGCACTCAATTCACATCAAGTGAATTTAGAGACTTCTGCAAGTCATATGCGATATAACACTCCGAGAGAAGAGGAGGAAAGAGAGAGAGAGAGAGAGAGAGTATTCTACTACCGTAGTATCAGCCGCGTACGACTACCCATATTGGACACTAGCACATAGTAAGCTCCGCTTACACTTACACTATCTTTGTAACCTTTTTGTTTAATATATCTTTCTTACCTCTAATCCATGTTCCGTGTTTTCCTTCCGTGGTCCCAACTTTGGGTCCACATCACTTATCATCATGGCGACCTAAAGATAAATGTACGAAATAAACAGAAGAGTGAACTAGTTCGCATCTATAGATTTGAATCACTCAACGCGAGGAGATAAATATGTTCACTGATCAAGTAATAACCAATAAATAGTTTCAAGCCACTTACGAACACGGAAAACTCAGTGGAGGACATAAAGTACCAAATAGGCTACATAACAATCAGTAAATCATTTAGAAATTCACTGCTTGGCGCGAAAATATAAACATTGACAAGAGGAAGGGACCACCCCCCTACTATTATACGCACTAAGGATAAAATTTACTAAAAACAACTGTTAGAATTTTTGGGTACTATGTACTAGTGAGCCAACCAAAATGAGCTGACTCATTTTATAGTTCACCAATAGAAGGGTTAACCAATCAGAAAGATCAAAATATTCAATCTGACGTGTATAAAGACAGCCATTTTGTTTTGTTTTTTTCTCCCAAAATATCTTCACTGCCAACCTCTGATATCGATGACTTAAAGAATTACTTAACAGCTGCTACTTTCTCCGAGTCTTCACTGCCAACCTCTGATATTGAACACATTACGTACTTCACTGGATTCTATATTCAAAGACTACGGCAAACATGGTTAACAACAACAACAAAAATAAAAAAAATAACGAAATCAGCACATAAACTACAATAAAATAAACTAATCAGTCAACAAATAAAAAAATATATATTCAGGCAGCATACCTTCATTTAGACATGTTTCATTGAATAATATAGACACATTATGTCTATCTATTTTTATACAGATCAATTCCAGTTCTCTAATCAGTTTCTTGGTGTTAAGTTGAAATTCATTAACGAAAACACCGTAGTTTTTTCTTACCCAAGTACTTTCGATCTTTTCCAAGATCATCTTTCGGGTAAATTACAACGACAAAATTATTGCAACTGTGATAAAATCTGTATTCCGTTGTATGGGTTATTTTTCTTAAAAAAACTCGCTAACGAGCGCTGTAATTATGTTAAAATTTTACATTTATTCATTGTATCCTTATATTGAAACGCTTGTTTTGCAAAATATTCCATAGCTTCAACGGATAAATATGAAATGTTAAAATAATTAGAGAGCGTTCTCGCGTTTTTCTTTAATAACCATCACAACGGAATGCAGATATTTATCGCAGTAACAATAAGTTTGTCTTTGTAATTTGGCCCTGAAGATGATCTTGGAAAAGCCGAAAGTACTTGGATTAGAAAAAACTACGGCGCCTTCCTGTATGAATTTCATCTTAACATGAAGAAAGTGCTTAGAGAACTTGATAGGATCTGTATAATAATAAACAGACATAATATGCCTATATTATTCAATGAAACAAAAACAGGTACATGTAGTTACAAAAATATGTAAATGTTAACAATTGATCAGTAACTCATATTAAGTAGAGGACTAATGGCATTCAATCAAAAAGCTCATACCAGCCGATGCACGAGAGACGAGGCAAAAAAGAAGGAAATGACGGATAAAATTCTACACTGAATGAAAGTGAGACAACAGTGGCCCAGAACACAGGATGTTAACTAAATATTTTAGAAATAAATTCAAAGAATTCAAGCAATCAAAAGATCAATAACTTAACGAGAAGCGCACGGAAAAAAAAACTGCAGAACAGAACTAGCCTGTATATAAAATTAAAGAAAAAGCAGGACAGAAAAACGAGCTCTTTGATATCTAGAGCAGTAATTATTGTATCAGAAGTTGTTTAAGTTCACAATACTTAAGAGATTTTCAGATCTCACTATACTTATATATATATATATATATATATATATATAAAACAAGTACAGGGTTGGTACTCATGGGATAAAATTCCAATAACTAAAAACACTATTCTTGAGAGAGTTCTCAATACGGAGTAGAGTTAATAATATTTATTCAAATTTATAAAAAATGCATGTTATAAAATCCCATTATAACATACATTTGTTATAAATTAAATACCTATCTATCTATCTATCTATCTATCTATCTATCTATCTCTCTCTATATATATAATGAATATTTATGTTTTCGGGTGTTGCAGGAAATGCTTGAAGTTCACAGTTAAATTTTAAAACTTAGTCTATAAAATATGCGTCTTTAAATAATAAAATATATATTCTGTAACAATACAATTATTCTTGGCTGGCTTCTGACAAAAGAAGAATCAGGAAACATAGATTTGACCATAAATAAATATTGTAAACTTCAACTATTTCTGATATATATATATATATATATATATATATATATATATATATATATATATATATATATACGGGTGTGGAGGTTTGTGAAATCGAAGAGTCGATAAAAGAAAAAAAAGGAAAAAGATGTCAGAATATTCATTTCAAGTTCGACATGTCAGGCGGGTAAAATGCCTGTAATAAAATTCATTTTTGTTATTTAAAAAGAAAGAAAAACTGATAATAATTAAAATTGTAAAATAATGTACCAAATGAAATGAAATTAGATGAAAAATAAGGAACAAATAAAATAAATGAAATAAAACGTAATTAAATTAAAAAATGGAAATATTTAATGAAAACTGATTAAAATTGGATATTGAGCAGGTACAATTTCAGAAGTATTACAATTACGAAACAATAGCAAAATATACATTATATATGCCTGCTATTAACATAAAAGTGATTAGTATATATATATATATATATGTTTACGAGAAAGAGAGACAAAGTTTGAGAGAGAGAGAGAGAGAGAGAGAATGACAAAGTTTGAGAGAGAGAGACAAAGACAAAGTTTGAGAGAGAGAGAGGGGGGGGGAGAGAGAGAGACAAAGTTTGAGAGAGAGAGAGAGGGGTGGGAGAGAAAGAGGTGGGGGAGAGAGAGAGGGGTGGGAGAGAGAGAGGGGTGGGAGAGAGGTGGGGAGAGAGAGGTGGGAGAGAGAGAGGTGGGAGAGAGAGAGAGGTGGGAGAGAGAGGGGGGGGAGAGAGAGAGGGGAGAGAGAGAGAGAGGTGGGTGGGAGAGAGGTGGGAGGAGAGAGGGGTGGGGAGAGAGAGAGGGGGAGAGAGAGAGAGGGGTGGGAGAGAGAGGGGGGAGAGAGAGAGAGAGAGGGGGGGTGAGAGAGAGAGGTGGTGGGAGAGAGAGAGAGGGAGGGAGAGAGAGAGAGAGAGAGAGGTGGGTGGGAGAGATGTGCGACGGGTAATTCAAAACATTCCGGTCTCGGAATTGAATACATTACTCGATCAGATTATTCTGGATTACCTTCGCCATCGCATCTAAGATGGTGGTGTCACCTAGTTATTGGAATTGAGGAGCAGCTCGTAGGTCAGTTTGTGTCTCAACGACACCACCCCAGACCTCCAATGATGCAGTGCTCCAATCTCGTTGGACTGCAGTCTTAGAACGCAAACAGTAACCGTGGCATTCCCGAAAACATCGATGTTCACAAATGAAGTTGCCTTCTATTCCAAAAATCTGACGATCTAATCTATAAAATATATTTTTTTAAATAATATGGAGTCGTGGGAAAAGTTCTTGATAGAAATTAAGATCAAAATCTGACAGTAAAATTATTAATTTATTATAATTTTTATACATTAAAAACTTGTTTTTAGTTATGGAAAAATAATTACAAAACAACTTCGGTATTCAATGTCTTAGCAATGTTTAAAATGTTAAGTCCACGAATCAAACAGAAGTTAACCCGAGCGAATAAATACTAGTATATTTTTGCTTCACCCCCAAGGAAAATCCGATATATAAATTAGTTTCATGTGAAGATACAAGGTCCTTTCGTTTGTTCAAGGAGAACAATTTTCAAGTGTCGTGAAAATTGTTACGCTAATCTCAAAAATCCTAATGAACTTTGCACAGTTTCTTTTGTTGTAGCATACCTACGGACGATAATGGTTATGTCCCAATTCGCATAAATACAATAGTAAATACTGTATGTTGGTCTGCAGCTTGAAATTTATTGTGGAATTCACTTGACTCGCTTCTAGCAGTGGACTACTACTTCTACGCGCCGCTGGCGAATCTTATATGTGTAGTTCTTGTCCTAAGTATTATCGTTCATTACCACTCTTCGTCTGATTATTCTATTCAGCAACTTCCCCTAGGTTAAAACACATTACAAACTGGATTTTAATGTACATCAACCCGTACATCTACTGGAAAATTTAAAATAGAAAATTGATAGGTAGGGCTCAACGCTCAACTTCAATAAATCATGACTGAATCTTTATATATATATATATATATATATATATATATATACTTGTAGGTCTGATGAATTCGATCGTATTTGCGATTCTAATGTAATAAATTATGACCATGAAGTATATATATATATATATATATATATATATATATATATATATATAACTTATACAGCTTATCATTTTTAAAACAAGGATCATAACATTAATCGAGTAATTTTCAGGTTAATGCACCTTTAAAATTTTGTTAGCGAAGGGATTTCGCCATTTCATATCATTAACTTTACTAATCTACTTTAAACATATATATATATATATATATATATATATATATATATATATATATATATATATATATATATATCAGGTAAGATGAGAAAGAATAGCGTACAATTCCAATGTTCGTAAAATTTCCTTTAAAAGAGGGCTCAATACAAAATAGAGCCATATTCTTCATTTTAGGATATTACATCAAAAACATGTCAAAAACGCTACATAATTGCAGTCGTGTTTCGATGCGAATCAACGCATGCATACCAGTCATTTACCAAAATAAAAAAAAAAGTATTTGGGGTGCCAAAAATGCTTTTACAAAGTTTGGGGACGGGTTTCTCATATCAAAACAAGGACAAAAGTCCACATAAACATATGTCAGCAAGTGCTTCGTTTTTTTGACTTAAGTTTGGTTTGGTTTGGTTTGGTTTGGTTTTACGGCATATCAGCCTTAATGGGTTATTTAATGCCGATAATTTTTTTTATCGCTGGTAATACTTTATTTTGCTAAACATCTGTTTATGGTAATATTTTTCTTTGAAAAATGTGTTGCTGGTAATTATTTTTTTGCAAAAACGTATTGCTGATAATAATTTTAAAAAAATGTATTGTTGGTAATAGTTAACCCTAACAGGTGCTACCACCCAGGGTCAGTGTGGACCTGGGAACACCAGCAATTAAGAGGTGGTTCCATGCTCCTCAAAACCTCCTGATCAGAGGCCTTGCTGTTAGACATAGTTTATCGTCTTACCCAGGACGCGGATTAGTTTATCGTCATACCCAGGACGGGACTTATTAAGTTTGAAGTTTAATGTTGACGCTGTGAAATGTACAATCCAAGATACAATCGAAAAATACTTTTACAGAATTTGGTGGCGAGTTCCTGGTACCGAAACAAGTTTAAATATTCATATAAACATATATCCAAAATGCCATCGTGTGTGCCTTAACACAGCAACTAGATGTCAGCCAGTGCATCACGAACAATGTGAGTAAAATGTGCTGGAGCCCCATCATGCATAAAGCACATGTGTCTTTACATTAGAAGTGGTACACTCTCTAACAGGTCTGGATATTTGTTTGGCATAAAATCTCTGTTGACAGCTCCTGTAAGATGGACTGGGGGAACATATGGACCTACCAGACAGTCACCTACAATTCCATCACACACATTAATCGTAAACTAATGCTGGTGTCAAGCCGGTATTTTACCATGGGGATTCCGAACTGCACACAAATGTTGGTTACGTAAATTTGTTACTCCATCTTTTCCAAATGTTGCCTCATCCGTAAACAAGGCAGAAGAGACAAAATGGATCAGCAGTTTGTGCAATCAACCTTCGGTAAATGTTCACCGGTGGTGACTGATCAGAGAGCGAAAGACCCAACACATGTTGCAAATGAAACGGACGCAGGTGCTACTCTTGAAGTACCCTCCATGCGGTACTATGAGATGTGCCGCATGCTAGTGCCACTTGACATGGGGTGATACATAGATCGTCTCTGGCAGCCTGTAAAATGTGATCTTCATGGTCAGGCGTACGAGCGGATCTCGGTTTTCCTCGATCCCCAGTTTGTGGTGCCACGGATTCGGTCTCAGCAACGCAACGATAAACAGCAGCAAAGGTTGGATACCTCGGCTGCCCTCGATCTGGAAACGCAGTCTGGTACAGCCGTGCAGTCTCGCGTCCATTACCATTCGCGGGGCCGTATGTAAAAATCATATCTACCTGCTCACGATGTGAATATCCTGCCATGGTTAAACAGAACTCTTTTCAGATAACTCACTACTCTATATGTTAAACGATGAAGACAGATTAGCCAGACTAAATACACATGAATGACAAATGTAACCTAGTCTACTTGGCAAGACAGTAAAATCTAGCGTAAACTTTCTTAGTAACTCAAAAACGAAAGATTTGTGGGCATATGCTCATATGAACTTTTGTCCTTGTTTTATTCTGAGGAATCCGATCCCACAGTTTGTAAAAAAGTATTTTGATGCACCTATATATATATATATATATATATATATATATATATATATATATATATATATATATATATATAAATAACCTGTACAGGATGTGACTTTTCTTCTCCTAGACTGGATATCAACTGAGTATGCCACTACTATTTAAACCATAGCTGGGATGAGGGATGAAAATAGGATATCTTTCCAAAGAGTATTTATGAGAAAGTGAATGCAATGAAACTCCACACACACACACACACACACACACACACACACACACACATATATATATATATATATATATATATATAGTATCAAAAGGGATGAACAGACGGGCACGTGTTTCATGTTTTCATGTTTACTTGTTCGAGACGAAAAGAGGTCAAGAGCTCTACATTTCCCGCTGACGTAGCATGGAGACGGGTAGCAATTGGACTGTTCTGTGACCAATCCGTAACTTACACACCTGTAGATCCTACTATGGACGTGTTCTGACAAGCATATGAATGTGTTAAAGTATATGTGACTGTAGGTTAACGCACCACACACACACACACGCGCGTATATATATATATATATATATATATATATATATATATATATATGTACTGTAAGTTGTAAACAATTGGGACAACACACCTACCACTTGCCATACTTCCAGTAGGGTGCCACAAATATATCGTACTAAAAACGACTGTGAACTCGTGAATAAACTTAGCATATTACCACTGAAATTAATATAAATAATAACACAAATTCTATTAATTGATGAATTTTAAATGTTCGCTAAAGTTATACCGATACAATGTATGGTATCTACCGGTGTGAATTGTAAGTTGCTTTCTGTACAACTTATATAGAAAGATATTACGGTTAGCGTGTGAATATACAGGTAAGTGGTGTGACCTTATGTAGTGTTGACACAGGTTATCGTATACTGTAGCCTATCTTCATTTGGCGGTAGGCCTAAGTTTTGGGTCGCTGATAGCCTACCGTAATTTTAGGGTCGACCTATACGATAGATATATACTATATACTTGAGTTCGATTGAAAGATAAAGAACAGAAAATAATTAAAGAAAGGAAGAATAAAAGTAAAATGAAAATAAAAAGTAAACGAAAATAAAAAGTAAACGACAATAAATAAATAAATAAATGAAGAAAGAAAGAAAGAAAAGACGGAAAGCCCAAGAAGAGACTATTGAACAACTGAAAGAAAGAAAGAAAGAAAGGAAGAAATGAAAGAATAAAAAAGAAAGAATGTCAAGATATGAAGAAAAATGAGCGATATAAAAGAAAAAACAGTTGAAAACGGTAAAGAAAGTCGATAATAAAAATATAAAAAGAAAGAAAGAAAAACGAATGAAAGAAAAGACGGAAAGGCCAAGACTAGACTACTGAACAACTCAATGAATGAAAGAAAGAAAGAAAGAAAGAAAGAAAGAAATTAAGTGCAGATAAAAACACGATAAACAGATGAGTAAAAAAGGAAGAATGAAATGAAAGGAAAAAAGAAAGACTCTCAAGATTTGAAGAAAAAAGTAAAGATATAAATGAAAGAACTGTTGAAAACGGAAAAGAAATTCGAGAATAAAAATATAAAAAGACAGAAAAGAAAGAAAGAAAGAAAGTCAAAAAGATCGTAAGAAAGGTGATAAAAGAAATATAAACAGAACTGGACGAAAGAAAAAAAGAAAGAAAGAAAGAAAGAGAGAGAGAGAGAGATGGAAAAGGCAGCCAAGAATGTACAAAGTGGAGAAATGAAGATAAAAACAGAAAGAAGAAAAGAAATTAAAGAAAGAACGAACGAAAGAAAGAACAAAATAAAGTCATGGCAGAAGCCATTCAGTGACAAATATATCTTCATGCTTATGTATGCTTGTCTCCAAAAAAGAAAATGTCATCTGTTTAAATCTGATACAAATTCATATTTCCTCAAACAAGTAATCGAAATTATCATTGATTACCGATTAAAATTCTAACTACAAAAACAGAATTCAGGTGAAAAGAGCCGCCGAATGTGAACCTTGAATAATGACAGCAGCAAAGAGATTGTAAAATAGCTATTTCCTAGTTCCTCATTTGATTTCTTTCACCATGGTAATAGAATTGATAAAGGGTAGGAGTACTTTTATAATACGTTTAATTATCAAGGCTAACAGGCATTATATGGCTGACTATTTTACACATAATGCGGTGACAGAAACGATTTATTTAGGTCAGTCAGAAGGACATTAATATAAAGCAAATGCAACAGCCTCGCATGTCTATATTATTACCATTATATATATATATATATATATATATAAAGGCTGTTCCAATAACTTGGACCGATTTTAATGTGAATTAAGTTTACGCGTCTAATGAAATTTTCTTTATTTTTCAGATTTGGCGATATTTGGGCAATATTATTTTTCACACATAATTGGCATAACTTAAATAACATGATCCAATAGAGAAATAAATAAATTCTCACCAATAACACTGATTTATTTACTGCTGACTTTGATCCGTCTTAATGAAACACCCTTATATATAATCCATCTTAATGAAACACACTTTATATATAATGTATATGTGCGTGTGTGTGTGTGTGTGTGTGTGTGTGTGTGTGTGTGTGTGTATGTGTGCGTGCGTGTTCGTGTAATCTTCAGGCCATCAGACGGCTTGAAGATTGCGTTCAAGCAAGAAACAGACTGTCACCATTCAGTGTTGAATACAGTGTCCACTTTTATATTTACATACGGTCTATCACTGATATTGATCTCTTTTATCCATAAACATAGTATAACTTGATTCTATTGTTATATTATTTTATACTATTATATTATATTGATGGATTTATTGGTTGATTTATTTTCTACGGCTTACCAACTCTTTGCATGTTATTTAAAGGCAAAAAACAAAACAAACAAAAAAAAAAAAACAAAAAAAAAATATATGGTAAATGCAATCATCCGGTGCTGATTGAAAACTGTTTTCTATCAAGTCCTAGCGACCGCGTTGTGAAGGAAAGAGTTGTGCTACCGTTGAGGAAAAGAGATGTATGTTTATTATTATTTTATTTATAGTTTATCATCATCATCATCATCATCATCATCATCATCATCATCACTATATTTCGATTCCTGCTATGGTCACACTATCTACCAAGTCTGCAGGAAGACCTAAGGCAGGTAGTGGTGTGTTGCTATGGCTACATTTCATGATTTGTTTTTCTAACTCCCATATAATCACTAATGTTACATGGACAAAGTTCTTCTTAGTATGTGGGCTGTACCTATCAAGACTATTTTTTGTATTTCTCTTAAGCTGGGATTTCCAGGTATTTTTTCAATGTGTTGTTGTGTTCAATTTTTATCATTCCAAGCGCACCTACTATGACTGTTAGTGTTCTTGTTTTCATTTTACACACTTTTTCTATTTCAATTTCCTGATGTTTATACCTCGATAGTTTCTCAAATTCCTTGGTTGCTTTGTTACAGTCCGCAGGGCAAGCTATACCAATTAATAGGCAAGCTCTTTCTTTTCGATTTTTGACAATTATGTTAGGCCTATTTATTATTATTATTATTATTATTAAAGCTCTGTTATTATATATCGAGCACTATTTTATTAACACTAGAATTCAATGAGAAATATTTTATGCTTATACACATAGTGACACACTCTCACAAACAAACATGCACGCACATACATAGAAAATTCGATATGTAATATAATATATATAATTATATTTTATGTAATATTATATTGTATTATATGTATATAATTATATGTATACAGTTATATATATTATATACTATATATACGTATACATATAATTATATATATTATTATATTATATTATATATAAATTTAATATTATACTTATTATTACAATATTTATCAAGAGTAATGTCAATTATTGTTTATTGTAATAATTAATACGCCTATTTTTCTCTCAGTTCCTGACAAGCGAGGAATCAGGACATTCTGAATTGATCTCTATAAGTATTGCGAACTTAAATTACTATATCTATCTATCTATCTATCTATCTATCTACAGATAGATGGGAACAGATGGAGAGAGATTTGAACAGATAGATAGATATAGAGAGCGAGAGAGCGAGCGAAAGACAGAAGGAGAGAGAGAACAGAATCTGCAAAGATAGAAGATGAAAATGTTCGTTTAAAAGCGAAAGTGAAAGTTGTAGTAGGTCACTCGCCAGATCTGACTTTGACATCGCCAGTGTCAGCGTTTCAGCGTAAACAAATCAACTCATATGCCAACGTTATCGACACCCCCACCCGCTGCCCTTCGCCCTTCGCATAGCGGTTGCCCTGGCGACGGACGGTTTTTGCAGTTTAATGACGTATTAGGGGGAATCTCTGAACACAGTGATGACGTGAAGAAAAGGCTTGTGTGTTTACCTGCATTACGCTATCCTTTTACCTGCATGGAGATTGGACGCGCGTGCGTCCCTGTGTATGTGTGTGTGTGTGTGTGTGTGTGAGAGAGAGAGAGAGAGAGAGAGAGAGAGAGATGAGTGAGGGTGAGTGGGAGAAGGAGATAAACGGGGGGGGATATGGAGTGAAAGAGAAATATAAATACAGATAGAAAAGAGAAAGAAAGGGGGAGAGATAGCGATAAACAGTTAGGTACTCAGGTAGAAATTATATAAGTGTATTTAGTATATTTGCGGGAAATGATATGTATGTATATCTATAATTTACCTCGAGTATAGAGATTAAATCATATCTAGAGTAAACGGTCTGTTAATAACAGAATTTTGAATTCATCCATCTAATCTTGCGACCGTTCGTAATGTAACAGTCTTTAAATGAAATCTGAAAATAAAATAATATTTTGTAAATTTATAACAATTTATGCGAAAACATTATATAGATTTTTATATGGATTTTCATATTTGTACTAAAACTTTTAACCATTTAGAAGATATTTGACAAAAATAATAAAAAAATTATACACGATCTTCTATTATTATAGAAGACTGATAGTAATAATTTAGATATTTAGATTTTTATACACGACTTTTCAGAAATTAATATAGAATATTTTCGACGAAGATAATTTAAATTTTTATACAGAAATTTTAACAAATTAATATGGAATATTTTTGACAAACTTAATTAAAATTTTATTACAAATTTTTAGGAAATTAATATAGAAGATTTTTAACAAACATAATTTAGATTTTTATACGCGATTTTTAACAAATTAATATAGATTTTTGACAAACATAATTAAAATTTTATACTGATTTTTATAAATTAATTTAGATATTTTGCAAAATTAATTAATAATTTAATACAGATTTTCGTAAGAACTTTTAACAAGTTATCTGGGGAATTTTTAATCTTCGCAGATGTCAAAAAACGTCTTTTTTAAAATTCTGAACAATTTTGGCGAAAATTAGATTTCTTTTTCATTTCTCCATTATTAAAAACACAATGTTAATGAAAGAAACAGAAAAAAATGGCTGGATTTGACCTCTTTTTTTTAGAAATACATCTCTTCAGTACATGGCTGATCATAACTCTCTACAGTTTCTTAAAGGGATAAATAAATAAGAAAAATTCGGGATTAAGTACCACACAACGGGAAGCTGGGGACTTCTGGTCATGATCTTATATAAATGGTCATGGTTAAGGTTAACTTTAACCGCGAGTCTTTTATATCTATTTGTTTACTTTATTTACCATTTCTCCATTTGTAGACAACGTCTGGTTGTTTGAAGTCCTCACTCATAGAATTTTAGTGTTTATGAAAACAGTTCTCTTTACTTTGTGGTTGTTTTTAGCTAATGGTGTGGTGAACACATGTGCCACACACAGTCATTTATGTGATACACTCTTAGGCGATCATATATCTTTCCATACATGACTGACGAGGCAGATTTTTCCCGCAGTAGGTCGCCATTTCTTTCTGCGTTAGACCAGTTGTCATCTAAGGCTAGAGAACCCGGTCTGTCCTGCTATTTACCCATAGGTGGGAGGAGAAGAAGATGATTCATGCCTTTCCAAAGTGTATTTGCGCGTAAGTGAATATCAGTCAGTTACGTGCCATGCGTGATACACGCTTAGGCGATCATGTCGCACGGCCGTATGCAAAAATCATATCTACCTGCTCACGATATGAATATCCTGCCATTGTTAAAAGGAACAGTTCTCAGATAACTTATTACTCTATATGTTAAACGTTGAAGACAGACTAGCCAGACTAAATACACATGAATGACAAATGTAACCTAGTCTACTTGCAAGACATGACTGACGAGGAAGATTTTTTTTCCCGCAGTAGGTTGCCATTTCTTTCGACGATAGACCAGTTGCCATCCAAGGCTAGAAAACTCGGTATGCCCTACTATTTACCAGAGCTGGTTCGGAGAAGAAGAGGATTCATACCTTTCCAAAGTGTATTTGCGCGTAGGTAAATATCGGTCAGTTATGTGCCATGCGTGATACGCGCTTGGGCGATCATATATCTTTTCTTTTCAAGGCTATAGAAGCCGATCTGTCCTGCTATATACCCATAGCCGAGGGGAGAAGAGGAGTATTCATACATTTCCCAAGGGTATTAGCACGTAAGTGAATGTAATAGATTCTACTGGAATTCACAACAACACTTATTAAATGATACGCTTTCCGTCTAAGTGATAGTTTCTTGTTTTTACGTTTAAACCTGATAGCAGTAATTAAAAATATAATGTGATGTCGCTTAAGCGGAATTGTTCAAAGGTATAAAAAAAAACCCTGAATTTTTCAATATAGCGACTGATGTGTTTATATATTTCAGCAGGTAATATAGGCAAGATAATATATCAACGGGAAATACTAAGTAACTGTAACATTATAAAAGAAGCG